ACACACACACACACACACACACACACACACACACACACACACACACAAATGCATTCAAATCTGTTCACCTGCCTAAAAAGGTCAAACACACATGGAAAATTGGAACTTATTTAACTCTTTCAGACTTCCCGTGCAACAACAGCAAAACAAGGACGTCTGCAGAGAACCAGCTGCAACACAATCAGCGCCCACATCCCAGAGTATTTTTGTCCTCATCTGTGTTAGGATTTGTGGTTGGAGCGAACCCAGAGTGCAGAACAGGGACTCAACTTGGCAGATATACAAAAATAGGTTTTTAATGATGAATGAAAAGTACAAAATAAATATGCTGACGGGGCAGCAAAACTTACATAAACAAGGAGGGAGGCACGGGGAACTCGGGAGACACGAGGAACTCGAGGAACCAGGAAAACAGAGAGACTCAGGAGACTCGAGGAAGCACACCCAACGAAGACGACCCGACAAAGGACAAGACAGAATAGGGAGACTTAAATACAAGGAGAAGACGAGACATGATGACAAACAGCTGGGACGAGACACAGGTGGCAACAATGGAAACTAACGAGGAGCACGAGGGAAACAGACACACCGGGCCACAGAAAACTAACATCCTTACAATCTGTCTGCAGACGTCTGCAGTTACAACGTCAGAGAACTCGGTGAGATGTCTAACCAAATGGTACACCTTCCATTGAGTATTTAAATAAGTGGAGACTGGAAACAGCTGATACTTTGTGTCAGGGAATCTTTGGTCAAAGGTTATGGATGTTTTTATTACTATGGCTGAGAACATTCTTCCCCTCTGCCCCGAGAACAAGAAGCCCAAAACCAGCAGAACCGTCTCCCAAAACATTATCTTATCTCTGCCCATGAACCATATGTTTGTGTAAACGGAGAGCGCTGTGTAAGAAGACTGCACTTGGCTTCAAGGACATCCCCTGACCTCTGAACTCGGCTGAGAGGGATATAAACGCGAGCAGATAACGCGGCTTGTGGCTCGCTTCTGTGACATGTGCTATTGCATGTGCATTATGTATCCAATAATACAATACAACTTTATTTATAAAGCACTTTAAAACAACACGGTTGGCCAAAGTGCTGTACACTAACACATTGAAGCATAAAAACTATAAACTCAACAGATACTATGTCAGTAATGAACTACCACATCATAAAACAGCAAACAGTAAAATCTATAAAACAAATAACTTAAAAAAAACCCAGTAAAAACAACATTTCAAGCTGAGTTAAAAGCCAAAGAGAAAAAAATGTGCCATCAGAGCAGATTTAAAAACAGGCAGTGAGTCAGCTTGTCTCACATGCAGGCAGCTCGTTCCACAGTTTAGGGGCAGCGACTGAGAACGCTCGGTCACCTCTCAGTCTCCTGTTGGACTTTGGGACGGCCAACAGCAGCTGATCAGCTGACCTGAGAGAGCGTGAGGGAATGTACAGCTAGAGCAGGTCGGACAGGTACTGTGGGGCGAGACCATGAAGACATTTGAATACAAACAAAAAAACCTTAAAATTAATCCGGAAACAAACTGGGAGCCAGTTTAGTGATTTTAAGACAGGGGTGGTGTGCTCTCGTTTTCTGGTGCCAGTTAAAAGTCGAGCAGCAGCATTCTGAACCAGCTGAAGTTGAGTCAGTAATGACTGGCTCAGACCCACATGAAGTGAATTACAGTAGTCCAGACAAGTTGTGATGAAAGCATGGATTAAAATCTTAAAATGATGTTGTGACAGGAATGGTTTCATCTTGGCCAGTTGTCTCAGGTGATAAAAGCTGGACTTGATTACATATTTAATCTGAGCATCCAGTTTAAAATCCTTGTCCAGCCTCACACCCAGGTTAGTTGTTGTCTCAGTCAGATGTTTTGTGAAAGGACCCAGATCAGCATGGACTTTGGAACCATCATTGGACTTAAACAACAGGACCTCAGTCTTTTTCTCATTAAAATGTAAAAAGTTCTGTGACATCCATGCGCTGACTTCTGCCATACATTCCAGGAATTGGTTCATGGAGTACTGTTTCTCTTGTCTTAATGGAACATAAATTTGTCTGTCATTGGTGTAAAAATGAAAAGAAACGCCACGTTTCCGGAGAATATATCCCAGAGGTAGTAAAAAAAGAAAAAACAAAAGGGGGCCAAGTATAGACCCCTGAGGTACTCTACATGTGAGAGGTGCTACAGAGGACTCCACAGAACCAAAACGACATGTTCTATTGCATGTGTGTTATGTATCTATGTATGTACTGTCTTGAATGAGTCCTTGCAAGTTAAAAAGCTGGTTAAAAGTCTTCTCCAGCTGTTGTGTGTGTGTGTGTGTGTGTGTGTGTGTGTGTGGTTCTTTTACACACTTATAAATCCTTTTTTAATTATGAAAACATGGGCTCTGACCAGGACAGGATTCCATATAAGATGACAAATAATTTGAGAAGGAGAACTTGATTCAGGTTATAGTAAATATAATAAAAGGACATTACTCTGGCTTTTCAATTGGGTATACAAAACAAGAAAACTCTTACAACATGTAATTAAGTGAATACTTGTACAGATGACAGCTTTTACAGTAATTTGATGGAAACTGCACATGTTAATTACACAGTAACGTCATGTCTACAGTATGATGTGAGCTAAAATAAGAAGCTCTGGGTAAAGAAAGGAGAAAAAAAACAACTAAATGTATAGATGTTTGTTATAAAAATGTGTGATTGTTCATGTGGATGAAAAGCACCTTAATTTATTGAGGAACAGACTGAACGGACCACTAAAGACTAGCTGAGGAGTCCAGCACCAAGCTGTCAGCAGCTGATTCTGAAAGTCCTGCAGTTTGTTTCTTCTGTGTCCTTCCATGACACTCACAGGTGGATTGCACCTACGGCACATCATGAAGCTTCACTCAGTTTTAACTGTTGTTATAAACCACCTGCTGAGAAGAGCTCTGTCCTTGGGGTCTTTTGTTTTACGTGAGGTCAAGACAAGTGAAGCTGATGCAAATTGGACTTGTTGGTCCAGAACAGCTGGATTGAGCTCTGGAGGATTTTTAAGCACTTTTCTGGGTAGAGTTTGCATGTTCTATCTGTGCATCCATGGGTTTTCTTCAGGTACAGTAGTCCCTTGTTTATCGTGGTTGTTAGGGCCACGCCCACCTGCGATAAGTGAAAACCTGTGAAGTAGGGATACAGTAGTCCAAGTTCAAGTTCAGTACACTTTGACAAGACATGTGCCAGGCTGCAATCACACTCACCCGTTACTCCCAATCTCCCACCTTAAATAAACAATTTAAATTTAAATACTGTAACATTTGAAATAAACAATCCATGCTGCATTGATTGTTTATTTAAAATGTTACAGTATTTAAATTTAAATTGTGGAGAAGAGAAGTGCAGCAGGACATCAAAGTGATGTCACACAGCTTCAGCTCTGCAGCACAGAGCAGAAATGTACTTCTTGATCAATTACACTGAAACAACGGCACAAAGAAGTTCTACAATAATTAAAAATAACTTAATACTTTTATATTTTGTGATTATGACGATTTTACGATGCAATGCGATACTTTGAATTTTAAGTTTGAAGACAAAAGTTGATCGGTGCATCTGGACTGCAAAGCTGCAGCAGAAATGTGCGTGCGTGGCAGAGAAGGAGATCAGCTGATCAGCTGCAGGAGGGAGCTTTCTCTTGCTCTTGTGGGCTGCACACATGGTGCAAAATCCATCCATTTATTATCTTTTACCCGCTTCTTCCATTTTGGGGCACGGGGGTCGCCAGTGCTCATGCCCATTCATCACTTTGCGAGGGGCACACATCAGCAGGTGTCTGAACACCTGCTACATTTCAGACATAATAAATATAAAAAGCTTACTGTAAAAAATAAATTACTGTAAATATAGAAAGAGAGAATTGTTTGATGTGTTATTCACATTATACGTCACGTTTCAAAACAACGGCACTAATTTGTCAAAATAACAGTGATCAAAATGTCAAAGAGACAGTCCAATTTACTTTAATAAAAAAATGGATGAATGGATTGTCCTTAGTTGGACAACAGAGAACTGAACCCTTCAGGTGCTCCAAACG